GAGCCGGTCCTCCTGGCCAAGACCAAGTCAGCCGAGTCCATCCCACACATGAGCGTGGATGCGGCACTGCACACCACCGTGATGCAGGACCTGGGCCTCCACGACGGCATTCAGAGGGTGCTTTTTGGCAACAACCTCAACTTCTGGCTGCACAAGTTGGTCTTTGTGGACTCCGTCTCCTTCCTGACGGGCAAGAGGCTCTCCCTGCCCCTCGACCGCTACATCCTGGTGGACATCGATGACATCTTTGTGGGCAAGGAGGGAACGCGCATGAAGGTGGAAGATGTCAAGGTGCGGCTGTGATGCCCTGGTTGGGTGGGCAGGGGGTGTGTGGGGCCAGGTGCTTGTGCCTGCTCTGGGATGCTCCAGGGATGAGCTTTCCTGCCTGCAGAGCATCCTCTGCCCCCCACCCCCGGAGCCCCTCTGTGAAGCTCTAAGGATTGCAGGTCCTCGCCCTGGTGTGGCAGCCATCCCTGCGGCTGCGTGCTGAGGACATCTTGCTTTCTCTCCCCCTCTCCCAGGCGCTGTTTGACACGCAGAATGAGCTGCGCACCCACATCCCAAACTTCACCTTCAACCTGGGATACTCAGGGAAATTCTTCCACACGGGTGAGGAGGGTGAGGGTGTCCCTTTGCGTGTTGGTGCCATACGGCTGGTGTTGGGGCACGAACTGGTGCTCAAAGAGGCTGATGTTGGGGCTGCAGGAGGGGTCCTCAGGGATCCCACCCTGCTGTCCTCCGTCACTCGGTCAGCAAGAGGGGCTCCCCCTCCCTCTGCACCGGCTGCTCCTGCACAGCTCTGCGTGCCCGGCGGTGACAGCGAGTGTCGTGCCCGCAGGTACCGATGCTGAGGACGAAGGTGACGACCTGCTGCTGTCCTATGTGAGGGAGTTCTGGTGGTTCCCCCACATGTGGAGCCACATGCAGCCTCACCTATTCCACAACCAGTCAGTTCTTGCTGAGCAGATGACCTTAAACAAGAAATTCGCTGTCGTGAGTAAGATGCCACCGGTGGGGGTGCTCATGATGGGGGAGGATGGGAGAAGTGGGGCAAAGAGGCTTCCTGGGGGATCTGGGTGACGGTCTCTGCTTGCTGGAGCAAAGGGACGTGGTGACGTTAAGTCATGTCCCCCACGTTGTAGCTGGGTGGGTAAATCCGTTTATACACTAATAACCTGGAGCAAAAGGATTTATCTGCACCAGCCGACTTGGCTGCTGTGGCAGCAAACTGCCTCGGTGCCTGTTCGAGGGGAGACATCGTCTGTTCCTTGCAGCCGTGCCCACCTGGCCTGGCACCAGGGCATGGGTGCGGGTTGGGTGCTCAGCCCAGCGCAGTTTGATGCCACACTGGACAATGATGCAGGATCCTGGAGCGGTGACCGTGTGCCGGGAGGCTCCAACTGTTGGAAACTCCCTCTGCAGGCAGAGCAGTCGGGGACATGTTTGTTTTATAAAGGCGGGCTCTGACCTTCAGGTTGTCCATCCTCTGGGACTGTCCTTTATGTGGCTTTGATAAAGGCAGCGTTGAGACCAGATCACGCTGTGATCAACTGGTTTGCTCGCAGCTGTCTTGAATCCAAACAAATAAAGCCAGACCCAGGAATAATAATTGGGTCCTATGGCCTAGGAGAGGGATCTTCAGGCTAACTTGAATTCATTGTCTGATAATTAGAGGTGCTTAATTAGAGAGAGACCAGACCATCCCTACTTGAGATGGCCAGTTTTCCAGATCAGAATTTCCAGGCTGTTTTATTTCTACTGGTATAAACCAATTTACAGTTCTGTATAGATGTATCTCCTCGTTCTCCACGGGAAGGGCTTTGCTGCTGTTGTTTTGTTGGTGACAGCAGAAATGGCAGGGGTGAGGATGGTCCATGTGAAGCAGAGGAGCGAGTATGCACCCAGCACATCTGCTCCTGGGCTCCCTTTCATTGAGGCAGCCCTGGTTAGGAGAGGATGTTGGGCACAGCCCTGCCCTGGTTGCTCTCCAAAGGCATGAATAGACTATTTGAAGTTGGGATTGGGAAGTCTCTTGGGGAGAGATTGGTTTGGGACATTGTGGTTTTGAGGTCTCTACAGTCACCCACTCCCCATTCTCTTCTCTGCAGGAGCATGGCATCCCCACTGACATGGGGTACGCTGTAGCCCCCCACCACTCAGGCGTGTACCCCGTCCATGTGCAGTTGTACGAAGCTTGGAAGCAGGTTTGGTCGATCAAAGTGACAAGCACAGAGGAGTACCCCCACCTGAAACCTGCTCGCTATCGCCGTGGCTTCATCCACAATGGCATCATGGTAGGTGGCCAGGCTTTATCTCTGGTGCTTGTCTCCTCTTGCTTCTCCCACCAAAACCCAGAACCTTAGTGGGTGGTTTCTGGGCAGCTCGGATGCTTTGATTTGAGGGGGCTGTGCCCTCTGCTCATCCTGCCTGAGGGAGGCTCATGTGAGGACAACTTTTGGCTTCTCCATCTGTCCAGCTCCATCCCTGTGGGTAGCAGGATGCAAGTCGAGGGTGGTGAGGGGGAGTGCAGCTAGTCCTGACCTCTAAGGGCTTGAAGACTCCCTTTTCATTTGGGAGGAGAAGGAGAGCCAGCCCTGGGTGCCTGGAGAGCAGGCTGTGTGGCTGTTTCATTGTCCTGGCTCCTCCACCTGTGCCATCCATATCTTCCTCCTTCCCAAGGTACTCCCCCGGCAAACCTGCGGCCTTTTCACACACACCATTTTCTACAATGAATACCCCGGTGGCTCCAGTGAGCTGGATAAAATCATCAACGGGGGTGAATTGTTCCTGACTGTGCTCCTCAACCCCGTGAGTACTGCTGTGCAGCTGCCTGGGGACAGACAGACGGGTGTCTCTTGCAGAGCTGTCCCTCAGTGCTGCGGTGGGAGATGTTCCCATGTCCTCAGCCAGGGTGGGAGCCACTGGCATGGGACAGCTGCCAGGTGAGGCTCTGCTAACCCCTGCTCTGTCTTCTCCGCTTCAGATCAGCATCTTCATGACCCATCTGTCCAATTATGGCAACGACCGCCTGGGCTTGTACACCTTCAAGCACCTGGTTCGCTTCCTCAACTCCTGGACCAACTTGAAGCTGCAGACGTTGCCGCCTGTGCAGCTGGCACAGAAATACTTCCAGATCTTCTCCGAGGAGAAGGACCCACTGTGGCAGGTACCTCCTGTGCCTGGAATGGGGGGAGCAGCCCCGTTTATTGTGCTGGGAGAGGGAAGTGGGGTATAGCTGGCCCTGCTCTGAGCAGGAGGTTGGACTAAATGACCTCAAGTGCCTTCCAACTCAGATTTCCCCCTGATTCCCTGGGTAAGCAGCTTTTTTTCACCTCTCTGTGGTTCTGTGGCTGGTGCCAGGAAGGAGTTTGTCCTGTAGACCTGGAGATAAGCCTGGTCTTTGCCGTGCCCGCTGAGCAGCGTGGCCTCCCCATGTGTCTGCTCAGGCCGGAGGTGTCTGAGCAGTGGTGCGTGGTCCTGTCCAGGCTGCCCTGTCTTTAATCCTCCCTCCTGCATTTCAGGATCCCTGTGAAGACAAACGACACAAAGACATTTGGTCCAAAGAAAAGACCTGTGACCGATTCCCAAAGCTTCTCATCATTGGGCCTCAAAAAACAGGTGCTTCCCTTCACCCTTGGTGCCATGAGCGTGCTGGGAGGCTTGCCAGGTCCCCCACACTCCCCAAAAGAGCCTCTCCTGCCCCAAAGCAGATCTCGGAGGGAGGTGTGGCCCAAGTCAGCTCTGGCTTTCTGTCTATCTGAAGGAACGACTGCCCTTTATCTCTTCTTGGGGATGCACCCGGACCTGAGCAGCAACTACCCCAGCTCAGAGACTTTTGAGGAGATACAGTTCTTCAACGGACACAACTATCACAAGGGCATCGACTGGTAGGTCTCCCCACTGCAGGGGCTGAGCTGGAAGCACCAGTTCCTTCAGGAACAGGAGCAGCAGTGCTGCTGGGTTTCTCATTGACCTTGCAGCCCAATCCTGCTTGGGCTCTGACATCGCTATGGTTAATTCCTGAGATGTCATCCTGAAGGCAAGGGCCACTTGCCAGGACTCAGGCAGAAGCTGGGTGCCTCTGTGTGTGTGTCTGCTACCCTCTGGTTTTGGGGTCTGCCTGGAGAATCTGGTGAGGCCTGACCCTCCAAAATGGGTGGAGGGGATTGTGGGGCCCCAGGCTGTGTATCAGACCTGGAGGGACCCTGCAGGATTAGTGTGTGGTATAGAGTGTCTGAGATGTCACCTGCAAGGGGGGGTGCTGGGGGCATCTCACAGTGCCAGTCCGCCTGCCTCACACTGTGCCATCCCCAGGTACATGGAGTTCTTCCCCATCCCCTCCAACACCACCTCCGACTTCTACTTTGAGAAAAGTGCCAACTACTTTGACTCAGAAGTGGCTCCCGCGAGCCGCAGCCCTGCTTTCCAAGGCCAAAATCATCACCATCCTCATCAACCCTGCAGATCGAGCCTACTCCTGGTATCAGGTGAGCTGCCTGCCTCTGCCTCTCCCCTGCCTTGGGCAGCCCCGTGGGGCGGTGGGCAAGGGGCTTCTACCCCATCAGCTTGGTTTGGGAGGTGGGGTGGCTGCGGACGCTGCGCTTTTTGGCTGAACAAGATGTGTGTGGACACGGTGTGGTGGCCTGGGAGCCGTGGTTCCTCATGGGCAGCCCAGGATTTGGGTTGCCCCAGGACCAAAGCCACCTCTCTTGTGCCTGACAGCACCAGCGAGCTCATGACGACCCAGTTGCCCTGAAATACACCTTCCATGAGGTGATCACGGCTGGACCTGAGGCTGCTCCGAAGCTCCGGACCCTGCAGAACCGCTGCCTGGTGCCAGGATGGTACGCTACCCACATCGAGCGCTGGCTGAACAGCTACCATGCCAACCAGGTAGGGATGGGAGCACCCCACTCCTACAGTGGCAGCACCCTGGGGAGCCCCCGTCACCCCTCAAAGAGAGTTTGGGTCTCAAGTCAGCTGCAAGGGTGCTCCTGTGAGAGCTGCTTTCCTTATACCCTAAAAACCATGAGGGGAAGAGTAAAAGTACTTGGGAAAGGTGCAGAGGGGTGATACTGCGCAAGAAGGAAATCCTTGTAGTGTGAGGTTGGTGATGGATGATACACAGAGATGTCCTTGTGGTGATCCTCCTGCTGGACCTTGTTGTCCCTGGTCCTCTGGCAAAGCAGGATTGAAAGGGGGCCATGGGGTGGAGGGCTGTGGATGGCTCTGCAGGGACACCCACCACTCACCCACTGCTCTTGGCTACAGACCCCCATGGGGCTGCCCCATCTGGTGTCACCGCGGCATCAAAGCAGGACAAAAAAGGCGGGCAAAGCTGCCAGTGGTTGGAGCTGCCTGCAGGGGAAATGAGGGCTGGATGCCAGCCCTGCTGTGATCCGCACAGCGCAGCGCTGCTGGCAGTGTGTGGGCTCAGTCTGAATGATTTTTCCACCATCTTTTAACCTTATAAAGTCCGTTAGTTGTCTGCTTCTGGCATAATGGCTGTAGCGCAGTCCTGGCTGGGGCTTGGGTGGCCCTGAGCCGGAGCTCTGACGTTGTCCTGGATGGAGCTTGGCCCTGGCTTTTATTGGCATTTAATTTTCCAACACTCAGTGTAAGTGAACACTGAGGCACATTAGCATGCAAAAGGGGACCCTGCGCGGGCTGGTGGCAAATTTGGCTCCAAGATGGCAAAAGGTGTGTGGTGAAGGTGTCGTCGTGCCCCAGGAGGGCCGGGCTGGGAGCCAGCGGCACTTCACAGCCCTGTCTTGCTCCTTGCAGATCCTGGTCCTGGATGGCAAGCTGCTCCGAACAGAGCCTGCCAAAGTGATGGAGACGGTCCAGAAGTTCCTTGGTGTGACCAACTTCATCGATTATCACAAGACCCTGGCGTGAGTCCTTCCCTGAGCTTCTCCTTCCTCCAACCTGCCGCTGCTCCCAGTGCAGTCCCCCTGGGACCATAGGAAGCAGGAGACTCCATAGCTCCTAGAAAAATGATAGTTTACCTCTGCGCTGCTCTTGCCCATATATGTGGCCACTCTGAGTCTGCACCCAGGTGCCGTGGGGCTCCTGAGGGCATCCTCAGGTGCAGAAAATAATAATTAAACCCACGTAGACCCCTGTGCTCCATCAAGCAGGGCGATGCGGTGATGAATGGACCTTATTGGGCTGCTTACTGTGTGGCTGCATGAGGAACTTGTTGTACCAGGGGGTCAATAACGAGGTGTTAGCTGGGCTACGGATTAAAAAGAGGTGGAGAAGTGCCCAGGGGTGCAGGGCTGGGTGGCAGTGGGGCAGCGTGCTTGCCTATGGAAGGTGTGCGGAGGCGAGAGGGGTGAGGCAGAGCTCTCACTTTGCAGGTTTGATCCGAAGAAAGGATTCTGGTGTCAGCTTCTGGATGGAGGAAAAATGAAATGCTTGGGAAAGAGCAAAGGGAGGAAGTACCCTGAGATGGATTCAGATGTGAGTATGCAGAAAGCCCCTTGGGACAGTCCCAGGCGGGGCTGAGGGGCTGTGCCGGGGTGGTGGGCTCAGGGCCGGACCCCCTGACCCTTCTCTTTGTTCTCGTCCTGTTGCAGTCGCGCGCCTTCCTGCGGGACTATTACAGGGACCATAACATAGAGCTCTCCAAGCTGCTGTACAAAATGGGGCAGGTGCTGCCCACCTGGCTGCGGGAAGAGCTGCAGAGCACCAGGTAGCTGCTGGCCGCCGCCCGCCCAGCAAACCCCCGGCGCCCTGCGGGACCTTCCTCAGCAATACCCGGCGGCGGCCTTGGAGGGGATCCGCGGGAGCGGGATGGCTGTGCTGGAGGCCGCCCGAGCGGTGGCCTGACTGCGGTCCTTGCGCTGCCACCTCTCCGCCGACCCCACACCTGTTTTTTTCCTTTTTAATTCCTGGGCCTGTCGGTGAGGTCCCTTCCCACCTTGCTCCAACGTGGGGAAGTGGCACAATTCCCCCTTTATCTGCCCAAAATGGGCCCCGACTCCCCTGGGCCTGAGGGCAGCGGCAGAGCCATCCCTCCCCTCCTGATCCGAGGGCAGAGGAGCAGCTCTGGGCACGCTGGAGGTGACTTTGCTGAGCTGCTTTTTAATTCCTGGGCCTGTCGGTGAGGTCCCTTCCCACCTTGCTCCAACGTGGGGAAGTGGCACAATTCCCCCTTTATCTGCCCAAAATGGGCCCCGACTCCCCTGGGCCTGAGGGCAGCGGCAGAGCCATCCCTCCCCTCCTGATCCGAGGGCAGAGGAGCAGCTCTGGGCACGCTGGAGGTGACTTTGCTGAGCTGGAGCAGAGGAACGGAGCTGGTAGAGACCTAGAGAATAGAGAGACCCAGCCCCGTTCCCGTGGCAGGAACCAGGAGAGTTTGCCGGATTCCCCCGACACCGACTTGGAAAAGCTGCGAACAAGGAGGATTTCCTTTCAAAGACTCGGGTGCAATTTCTTTTGTCATCTCCGTTCATTTTCAAGCTCCTCAACCTCTTCCTCCCCCTCTGTGGGTGGCACGGTGGCCCCAGTGTGCTGTCCCCAGCGCACACCCTGGCACGCTCCCGTGCCCCGCAAGCCCACCCTGCCATCCTGTACAC